ACACACACACACACAGAATGGAGTAGCAATAATAATTATAGGATAAACAAACACAGAGACCACAAACACCCAAAACACACTAACATTAAGAAAACAAAAAAAGAAAAGAAACTCCCAACATGTGGAAGATTAGTTAGACTGTAGGGATGTATGCAAAAAAGACAACAAAGGATGACCTGAGTCACACCATCACCATTACAATCAGCACACAAGAATACAGGCCAGTGTAACCACAATCAGTAGTGGCACACGCACCCACACAGAACTGCTGATACTGCTGCTGCTGTCTGCATCACCCTTCTTGTTGTTTGCAGGTTCAGGAGGAAGTGTTGTTGTTGTTGTTGTTGTGGTGGTGGTGGTGGTGGTTGACTCTGCACCTCTCGCGCCTTCTTCATTTTGGTTCCTTGTTGATTCACTCTCTTCAGATGAAGTGGCAACGTTACTTACATCCGTTGCAGCATCTGAACTCACAGCATTCTCCGCAGATGAACTGCCAGAAGAAGCTTCACCTGTATTCTTTTGCTCTGGGGGAGCAGGAGGTTCTTCTGAATGCGAACCATCAGTTGATGTCCCTGTTGATTGTGTAGTACCCCTTGCATCAGTTTGGGAAACAGGTTCCTCAACACTTGGTCTATCGCCAATGGAAGGACCCTGTTCCTGTTTGTGAGCATCCTTCAATTCTTTATTTTGTTCCTCACTCTCTTCTTGTGAATTATCTTTCTGCTCTGTTGCGACGAGACCTTCTTTCGTATGGCCGACAACTCGTTTTTCATCTTGACCGTCATGCAATCCATTTTCTGCTTCCCGCTCTCTTAACGTCCCTGCCGCCTGACCAGGATTGCCTAGAGCAAGAGAACTAGATTCAGTAGAAACTCTATCTTCAGCAAGTCCTGGTTCGACTGGGGTAGAAGGATGAACAGGAGAAAGACCGGGTGATGGATCAGGAGAAAGAGGAGCAGGAGGTGGAGGAGGAGCAGCTTTAGGAGGAGAAGGACGACGACAAGATGAGTCACCTTGGGTGCAAGGACCACCAGGACCAGGAGTTTCCTCCTCAGCTTTATCCTTTGGAGGACCTTCACCAATCCCAGAACTCTCAGCACACACAATACTGCAGGCAAAGCAGAGTGCTAATACCAAAACAAAAATGGTGTAGCGCATTCCCATCATTACAGTTTTTTTTTTTTTGGCTGGGTTTACTTTCTGAACTCTCTGTTATTCATGCAAAAACTCAAAAGACAGAACCAAACAACCGCACAAAAAAGAAAATCAAATAAAACATTATAGGTAACAAAGAAAGGCCACGAAACGAGAAAAAAACAAATAGGAGCAACACACAAAACACAAACATCACTCAGTTAGAGTTCAAATAAAAAGAACAAGGCACACAATACCCAGCACGAAAAAGAGAATCCCAATTAACATCTCAATATGAAAAAAAAAGAAATTAAGACATCAACCATTAGAAGCAGAAAGCACAGAAATACATCAAAATGACTCTTCCTGTAGTACCAAGCAAAATAACAAATACATATATATGTATTCCTTATTATTTCTTCTCCCAACACAAACCAATCCTACACCACAATGCAGAAGAAAGCACGCAGCACCCAAGCAAAAAAATAAAAAAACACAAATTAAGAAGAGCACCAACCGCACAAAAATAACTCACAGTCCACTGAGTATGCTGGTGTGTTCAAGTACATCAGAATACAAATTGTATTAACTACTATTATTTTCTTTGCTCTGCATCAAGCAGAATACCAAAAACCGTGCAGGGCAAAAGCACACAATGACCCAGCACACCACAAGCAAACAAAGAAAGAAACAGATATTACCAATAGAGCCCAATTTACCCAATAAACATAGAAATACACACCAACTATGGGTGCAAGTCTATAGGTGTATAAATAAGCAATTATAAATATAAATTCATCTGTTATTATTATTTCTTTTTCACTACAAAAAACAATTCATTATCATCATCACAGTGCAAGCCCAGGTGTACACACACAGAGAGAGTCTCCAAGAACACACACAGTATCCCACGGCTCTCGTTTATACATTAAATTACTGCACACAAATGCATGTCTATATTTAAAATAAAAGTATACCGTCAGTGAGCAGAACAGCCCAGGTTTCTGCAAACACACAACGGAAAAGCAAGTAATGGAATTATTAGAAAAATGAACACACACATACATAAAAGTAAAAGAAAAGATATTATAATTAAAAGAGAAAGCTGGTAAACAGATTATTAGTTTATTCACCCATGGGGGATATACGCAATTGTGATTATGTTAATATTACCATTATTATTATTTGTCCTCAGATGAGTCCCACCGTTCATTACAGGGTAGCGGAGAACAACACAGCCACAATCAGTAGCGGTGCTGCAGTGCACACCCATAAAGGACTGATACTGCTGTCAACATTAGCCTTATTCTTCTCAACTGTGGAAGCGATGGTGATGATCTCTGCGTTGGGTACAGCAGATGGAGTGGTGGTTGGTGCTTCTGTGGTAGTATTCTCGGGTCTTGGCATAGTAGTAGTAGTTGTTGATTCCTCATCACTTGGGTTATTGGATGGTTCACTCCCTGCAGGTGTACTGCCACCCCCATCGTTTGCAGTGCCAGAACCATTGGCAGTCTCTGTGTCTGAAGATTCGGGAGAAGGAGAAGTGGGTTGTGCTGTTGCTGTACTCTCCGCGTTGACTGCACCTTCACCTGCTGGATTGTTGACGTTGGCTCCAGTTTGACCTCCAGATGGAGACGAACCGTTACTCCCTTCCGCAGCACCAGCAGCAGCAACAGGAGGTTCAGCAGGAGGAGCATTAGAACGACGCTGTTCATCACAATATTTAGTAATATCACGAGGAGTTTCACGAATATTATCAGCATCATCTTCAGGAGGAGGAAGACAACCATCAACAGAGTTAGAAGAGGTAGAAGAAGAACTTACGGAGTTTCCAGCTTCAGCAGCCGCCATGCAAACAGAGGCAACACTCAAAATTAGAGCCAGAAAATACAATACACGTCGCACCTGCATCATGACAAAGAAATATTCTTTTTGTTCTTTGTGGGTCGTTAACTTGGACGAAGGAAAAAAAGAATCGTATAGAAGAAAAAACAAAGAAATAGAGAAACACAAACAGGGGGAAAAAAGAATAGAAAAATAAACAGAAGTCATAAGAAACAAAAACAAAATCAACATAAACAATAGAAAAAAATATATAGTGGTAACTTGGAGAATTAAAAAGCAAAATAAAAAAAAGAAATTAAGAGCAAGACCAACGTATCCAGTAAACACACAAACCACGACGAACACCAGTCATGCTTGAGATAATATGCAATTAAGAATATAAATGCTTCATTTATTAGTTTTATTAATTCCCAGAGCAAATCAACATCAGTGGAGCAGGGCACAAAACACACAACCACCCCAGCAAACAATAAGCAAAGAAACAGATATTAACCATTAGCCCAATTTATCCAAGTAAAAACAGAAATACACCAACTATGGGTGTACGTCTATATATGTATATAAACGCAATTATAAATATAAATTCATCTGTTATTATTATTTCCTTTTCCCTCACTACAAAAAACAGTTCATCATCATTATCACAGTGCAAGCCCAGGTGTACACACACAGAGAGAGTCTCCAAGAACACAGACACACACACAATGGAGTAGCAATAATTATTATAGGATAAACACAGAAAGCAAAAACAACACAAAACATATTAACATTAAGAAACAAAAAAGAAGAAGAGAAAACAAAGGATGACCTGAGTCACACCACCATAGCACCACACAATCAGCACACAAGAATACAGGCCAGTGTAACCACAATCAGTAGTGGTACACGCACCCCCACAGAACTGCTGATACTGCTGCTGCTGTCCGCATCACCCTTCTTGTTGTTGTTTGCAGGTTCAGGAGGAAGTGTTGTTGTTGTTGTGGTGGTAGTGGTGGTAGTTTCTGTACCTCCTGCTCCTTCTTCATTTTGGTTCCTTGTTGATTCATTCTCTTCAGATGAAGGGGCAGCGTTACTCACATCCGTTGCAGCATCTGAACTCACAGCATTATCCACAGTTGAACTGCCAGAAGGAGTATCACCTGTATTCTGGGGTGGGGGAGCTGAAGGTTCTTCTGATTGGGAAACGTCACTTGGTTTCCCTGTTGAATGTGCAGTACTGCTTGCATTACTCTGAGAATCATTTTTCTCGGCGTCTCCGTTATCGTCATCTGAAGGACCCACTTCCTCTTTGGCAGTATTACTTATTTGTCCTCCCTTTTCCTCACTGCCTTTTTGTGATTGATGACCTCCCTGATTTGGCGTGGCGAGAACCGTTTTTGTACCGCTGCTGACACTTCCCTCAGAGTTATGGACATTTAATCCATGTTGGCTCTTTTGCTGTTCTCTTTGCAGTACTGCATCCTGAATACCACTGCTAGAAGAACTGGATACAGAAGAACCGTGAGCCTCAACACCTGGTTGACCTGGGGAACCAGGAGGACCAGCAGGAAGAGAAGGAGGAGCAGCTTTTGTTGGTTGTGTAGGGCAACGAGAATTAGTAGAACCACGTAATTCAAGATTGCAGTTATCAGCATTATCTTCAGAATCTCTAGGTTGAAGTTCTTCTGTTGTGGTGGTTCCAGACGCCACAGATACGCAGGCAACACTCAGAAGCAAAGCCATAAAATACAACAGTCGGCCCATCAGCAACACGGAAAACGTTAATTGTAGCGTTCAATGCAACCAAACTTGAGAAAAAAGAAAACAAGAAGATAAAGAGAAGAAAATAGAGAATAAAGTAGAAACACACAAAAACAGAAGGAACAACGGCCACAAAGAAAAAACAATAACACATAAAAAACACAAGAAAAGGTAACAAGCAGAAACACAAAAGAGCCCAATAAAGCGGAACAACAAAAAAAAGTTAAAACGAAAACAAAAACAAACAAATTAATAATACGCCCC